AGAAGAGATCACATAAGAGAGATGTTACACAGGTAAAATCTCTTTTACCTGTTACAGAGGGAATTGATTGGTTGTGGACAGAGATAGACAAACAGAGAGACAGAGACACACAGAGACAGAGACAGAAACACGCACACACATACACACAGAGAATGGGGGAGTCGAGGATGTGAGGTTGTGAGCTGGAGTGACTGGAAGGATGTGGTGCCCTCGGCGGTAATTAGAAAGGGGAAGTTTTGGGGAGAAGGTAATGAGTTCAGCAAAGGACGCAGGTCACATCTCAGGAGTTCTTGCCCTAAGCTTCTGTAAGTGGGACGCCACTGCCTTACTGTCCTCCGACTGGGTACAATAGCACAGGCTGTCTGTCCCCTGTTCTCGGAATGCCATCCACCCTCATCTGTGTTTTCTGAGGGTCAGTCTAGCTAATAGTGGAAGGCCTGAAAATGGGCACCAGTCTGTTGTCAGTGAAGGAGTGAAATGTTTGGCTTAGAAAACAACGTGAGCACGCCTTTGAATCTCTTGGGAAAGTTAGAGAGGCGTGGGGTAGATTCCAGGGTCAAGATGAAATCGTGTAATTTTCCTTCCTCGTTTCCTGGGGAACTGGAATTACAGGTAGGAGCCCTCAGGGGCAGGCCTTCAAAACCTCCCCCCCCCCCCCCCCCCCCCCGCCTCCGTGCGCACGTTGACAAAGTGCCCAAATTAGGTGCCGCTGTGTGTTTGGTGACTCTCTAGTCTTGACCGACTAGGTGCTTTTAGGGTAAGGGTCCCCTGGATTGGGATAAAGATTCGCCCGTAGTGGACGAATGTTGCATCTGTGAGTGGTGCTGAGTCCGCCCTTGGATTCGTTAATCGGGAGAGACTATGAGTTCCCTGAGAAGACTGTTGTTTCGGAGTTTGGAGTAAGTGTAGCAAGTATAGGGGTGGGAAAAAGGAGGAAGAGGAGGAGGAGGAAGGCTTTTGCCCATTCTTGTATCTCGGCTCGTTGGTCTAGGGGTATGATTCTCGCTTAGGGTGCGAGAGGTCCCGGGTTCAAATCCCGGACGAGCCCTTTAAATTTTTGGCAGCCACAGAACGGCTCAAGGTTCGGCATTTGAGAGCCCAAGGAAAAGAGGACCTTTGTTTTGTGTGTAATGGAAAGGTTTGGAATTTGCCGGCCTTCACATCCCACCCTAGCCTTCTTCCTTTATGCACTCACTGCTCCTCTACCTGGCTCAGTAGCCCCCTGCTCTGTCCACCTGAGACTCTTCAGAGTGTCCACTTCACTTCACAGATCAACACCTACTTACGAGCCTTGAGGAAATGCTTTTCTGGCATTGAAAATACCGCACGTTCGTTTTTAAAGAAAGGCCCTTCCTCCTGTGTGCCCTGGGAGGCTTGCTTACGTGGTCAACCCTTCCTGCTATTTCTTCTCAGTCCTGATTTTTCCACCAGGTAAGATCAAAGAGGCAGACTCACCTCAGGGATGGTGCAGAGGATGAAGTGCTGGCCTGGAATCAGAAAAACCTCAGAGAGAAGCGCTTATTGGCAAACACTGAGGAAAAGGTGAGCAAGAGACCAGAGAGGAGGAGCTGAGAGGTGAGAACGAGCCAGGAGCTTCAGGTGAAGAGAGGAATTAGGAGTCCAGGTGAGAGTCTCCAGGGCCTGTCCAAGCACCATCCCCTGGCTTCGAGTCGGACAGCATACTGTTCTGCTTTACTTAATACTGGTCTGTGCCTTTGAACTAGGTATTATTGCTATTAAAAACGTGTCCATTGTCTATGACTTTCGTCTATGCCATTAAATGAGGGAACTGTGAGGGAGAGAGGACAAGCAAAACGGAAAAAGAAAAGAATTCCCAGCTCAGGTTGAGTGGATGCAAAGAGGCGATTATGGGGAGAATTTCTGCCATTTAATATTGAAATCATCCCAAACCTCAACCACTGCTTGTAATCTTCAGTCTAAAAACCAGTACTATCAAGGAATGGAGTATATGAATGTCTGTAGCTGTTCAGAGAATCCTACAAAGGGAACAAAGAACCCAATTACAACATCTGCCAGGAGAGTATGTAGGCAGGTACTTCTACATGCTAGTTTCTCAGATTACCCATAGTTAAGACATTCTCCTGATTTTCCACTTAAGATTTTTCCTAATTACACACTTTGAACCTTTCCATGGTTCATGTAACTGAATTTTTCAGAAAACCATCCTTTTTTTCCTTTTAGAGTGGAATATCTTTCAATTATAACATATGTGGACATTTTGTAAAATGTTAGAGCTGTATCTTAGATACATATTTACCTCCACTTATTTTACACATAATTATTCTCCACCGATATCAACTGTTTTAAGTCAATTCCATTTCTTTCCTAACCTTTTTGTCCTGGGGTCTTCTCTTAAACTCACAGTCAGCTGTTGGTACCCTTGGTTCAGGACTCCCAAGAACCAGCCCAGACTAATCAGCTTTGGCTAGAAGATGTATTATTTTCACATACATTTTCCTCAAGAAGTTTTCTCTATAAAAGGGTACACCAAAGTCCTGGGGATTTAAGACATTGATAATAAATCTGCTGTACTGATACGATTCTCACTTGGAATTCTCATTGCCCCCATGAATGCTAGAGAGGGGAAACCTCCTTTATTTTCATATTTTTTCTTCTTCTGCTACTTAACTGATTTCCCAGAGTGTGGATGAAGCCTTTGTACTGCCTAGAGATGATTGATATTTCTCTCCCTTCATTGCCCACATTCTGGCTTCCTATCAAACTCCTCCTATGCCCACAGAAGACTTTGAACATTTGCTGTAAAGAAAAAAGTCCATCTGATTCCCCCCTCACACAAAAATAAACACCCATGTACTATGGAGAATAGAATTTTCTTCCTTTGAAAATACTTGAGTTATGGAAGTAGAATTAAAATATGTCCCTTGTTGTGCTGCTACCTACATCCAATAATATATTGACATATATATGTATATTACATGCACTGGTATGTGTATTATGCTTTGTAAGCCTTAAAGTAACACATAAATATTAACTCATCATTAATTGAACCAACTTTGCCCTGAGCCAGTGATGTCTCTATTCAGCAGTGATCTGCTGGTCATCTGAGACAGAGTGAGAAGTTAGGTATCATTCATATAATCAATAAGGATTAGAGAGGGACATTTTTCAAACAACTTTACTGCTTTCCCCCCCCTCCCAAGGGTCCTGGATTTACAATAAAAGGAGAGAAGATATGGAATTTTGATTAAAGGAGAAAGTGAGATGTAATGGTAAAATGCAGGGGCACATGCCTTGGCCTCTTAAGATAGGGGTCTCCCTTAAATCCCCAAATGTTTCAGATGTCAGTCAAGAGAGGTTGCATCAGAGAGCAAGGCAATGTTGTCTGCACACATAGTAGATCTGGTTACTAATGTATGAGTTAAAAAGAGGAATGACTACTTGGGGTGAACGCTGGCAATAACTAATAAGAGAGGCTTTTTGATATAACAATTAACAAGAATTTATTTAAAGTACCTGTACATGTCAGGTACTGGGCTAGGTGCTGAGGATATGAAAATTAAATAGTCCCTGACCTCAAGGAGCTGATATCCTATTAAGAGAATGAATGAATGAATGAATGAATGAATGAATGAATGAATGAATGAAACATTTATTAAGTGCTTACTATTTTCAAAGTACTGTGTTAAGCACTGGAGACACAAACAGAACTGGAATGACTGTCCCAGTTCTCAAAGGGCTCACATTCTAATGGGGGAGGCAACAGATGACGAAGCTACAAGATGGGAAAATCCCATGGTTCTTAGGCTTCAGCCCCTAAGCAGATGTTAATGCCCCTTCTTTAATGTCATTTCCACCAATAAAATACAGGTTTCTGATGTTGAGCCATTTGAAAGTGCTGAGGATTCTGGAGGCAAAAACTTTCTCCAGTAGCAATAACCTTCAGGATCAGTTGCCAGGGTGCATCTCCACAGGGATTGCTTCCCAGCATTATGGCTGAGGTCACTGGGCTGGAAGCAATGTTATTCAGAAGGCTCTTGGGTTTAGGGTTCTGTGCTGTCTACATCAGAATCTGAGGGGAGATGAAGGTCCAGCTGGTGGTGATGATGACTTGTCTGTCATGTTTCCTCCTCTCTCTCCCTTAGGGTGCCTTGCTGCTTTGGATAGGCTGCCGTATGTAGTTATTGATTGAAAATTGGTGGGGATAACTGGTGCCTTCTCCACAGGGGTTGTTTCCCCATATGACAACTGTAAAGACTGAGCTGAAAGCAAGATGGTCTGGGAATCGATGCCACTCCTAGAACTATTGTGCCAATAATTCTCAAATTATTTCAATTTAAATTAAATCCAATGGCAAATCAACTTGTGCAGAGATAAATAAATACAAAATGCATCAAATTAATTTGAAGGGAGGATTCAAAACTGGGAAAGATGGCAGGATGGAATCAGGAAAGTCTTCTTGTATGAAGGGTCACTTCACCTCAGTCTTCAAAGGAACTAACATTCCAAAGTCAGAGGTAAGAATAGAGAGCATTCTAGAGGTAGGGAATGGAGCACAGATGAGGACTTAAATAGTGAACATCACATCAGGAGAGAGGAGGGAGCATACCCAAAGTCAAAGAATTGCTAGCATATACTCTGCCACCTGCTTCCCCATAAAAGTATAAAGGGACACTTTTAAGAATGGCAAAGGGTGAAGTATTTTCCAGCCCGCATCACTACCATAAGACATCTCCATTTTGAATTATTTAAAAAAAAGGTTTAATTTCATTTCCTTATTTGAACTGTACTGAAACATTTTACTACATGGCCAATCATACTGATATGCCTTTTTATCAAAGGTTTAAAGTGTACACTAAATCAAAGTTTAAATTTTTCTTTTTCTCACTGAAGTTTTTTTTTCTTCCCAAGCTTCCCATCCTGCCATCTTTCCCAGAGGACCGATTCTGCATGTATGTTAGAAGAAACACATAAAGAGACAAACTGACCTTCCTACTTATAGCCTCAGCAACTTTCAGAAACGTAGTCGGTAGGATTCGAACCTACGCGGGGAAACCCCAATGGATTTCTAGTCCATCGCCTTAAACCACTCGGCCACGACTACTTCCGGAGAACAGTTGTTTAATACCATTTTTTCAAGACATAGTGATTGTGTGTCTGCTTATTCTTTCCACATAAATGAATTGTTTACTACGTGCCCTAATCTAGGAGACTTGCTACAGCCCAAAATTTTCTCGAACTAAGCCAATTTCTTGCCTCTCCCTCTGATACACCTACGCTTTCAAGCTTCCCAGTACCTCATACACCTTTCTATGCTAGCACATAGCTTTCGAAAACACTGATCCCCAGTCACCCACCCCTTCCAGCAATCCTTTCTCCCTACGTTACGCCTATCCACTTTCGAATACCTTTTGACCAAAGGCTCAGAAATTTAGACATTGAAAAATTATTTGGAGAGTCTAAGAAGCACAGAGGTGAAGATTTTAACCAAGTGCTCTTGGAATAGTCTTTTTTCCCCCCTGTGGCATCCTTTAGACTTCCTCAGACACTGACACTGAAGAAGTGCACGCAGGCGTATGTGTTTGTCCTTTGTTCTCAAAGAGGAACTTGACCTCAGGAAGATGACTCCATGACTTACATGTGAATTGAATCTCAGTGAAGGAGAGCTGTGCAAAGTCACCAGCCTCCCTTTCTCTTCTGGAGCCATCTAGGTCCAGGGACAAGATATAGATCAGGAAGACTGGAGATGGCCCCCATAGGAACGTATAATTTCCACGTCAAAGAAGAATGGAAGAGCCTGGGTTCTTTAGGGCCTTTGTACAAAATTCCCTTAGAAAAATTTGCTACCACTAATCCAGGACGGTGAGGTTGCAAGGATATAAGTAGGCTGAGGACGTAGAAATATCAAAACCTTAGGAACCAAGGAAACGCGACGAGGATGGGATTCGAACCCACGCGTGCAGAGCACAATGGATTAGCAGTCCATCGCCTTAACCACTCGGCCACCTCGTCTACCTGTCAGCCCATCTTCCATTTGTTTGTTTGTTTGTTTTATTCTGGTTTGATTGAGAGGTTCTTTCATTAGTCATTGTAAAGTCTTTGCAAATTTTTTTTCTTGAGGGTGGGAGATTAGAGAGGCTAGGTCTTATTTGGAAAATCACAACCCTCCGAGGCACAAAGAATAAAACTACAAAGTTTTCCCTTTCTGCTCTCTACCTCTCTCAAATCCGATGCTCTCTCCTTACCTGTACATTGTCATGATTATTTTCCCTCTCTTCCAGGTACTACGTACTCTCTGAGAGCTACCGCCCTTGTTGACACAAGACCTTGAAGGTTGGGTCCCCAGCGGGGTAACTACTTCGCCAGGCAATTAAGGGTATTCTGTGTATCCGCACTCGTCAAGCTATAGTTCACCCTGGAGGTGGGGGGGGGGGGAAGAGGAGAGAAGACAAGTGTTGGGGGAGGGAAGGGGCCGCCGCGCGCGACGCTTCTCCTAACAGTCAGCCAATAGATATAATTAGCTCAAAGCATTTACCATGGTGGTAAAGTAGGACCAATCAACTGCAAAATATACGCACTCCACCTGGCAGCTTGTAGCGTACTCTCCTATAAACACTCAGAGTCAGTGGGATGAATGGGAAAGAGCAAACTGATAGTAAGGTACAAACGAATCCAGTCCTCGACACTGCGGGACCTCATGGTCTTTCTCTCCTGGAGTCCTCACCTTGCTGCCCGCCCTCCGTCTCAAGAAAACATCTCCTTCGAAGCGTCTTTGCTAGACAGACTTGGCTCCCTGCGTCTGTTTTTCTCTCCCACTAGACTCTCAAACTGCCGGAGTGTGAATCTGTCACAGACCGCTCTCTTCTCATTTGATACAGATCCAAGACCATTTAAGCGATTTCTAGCCCATTTACTCTGTGTATATTTAGTGGGAAGGAGAGGGAGATAGTGAAATTGTATCTCTTGCTCGCTGATGGATGTTGGTTTTCTGAGCTTAAGTAAGTAGCCATGCTTCTGGATGTGAAGCGCCAAACGGAAGGGAGGAGGAGCCGAGAGAAATTCCCTCTCTTCCGTCTCTCCGTAGAGAACAGGGGTCACATTCCTCAAAGTTGATTGCTGCTTCAGCAATGCCTCGACTCACTCCAGGGCATGCAGCCTTAGCTTTGTAGTGGTTTAGACAGCATTCCTATTAACCAAAGGCCTGCTGTCCTTACAAACTCTTCAGGCAAAATACAACTTTCCTAACGCATCTATATTTCCTTGCTCTGTTATAAGGCCCGTTAGGTGTTTTCATTAGCTGTTGAGGAGTGGGGAATCATTGGATTAGAGACTCAATTCACTCCACCCCTAACAAATTCAGTTGGGCAATCCAACTTTAGGGAAAAGAAGGAAATCCCAATCCGTCCAAATCCAGAAGTCTCCAAAATTAGGTTTCCCCTACAAAGAGGTTCACTAAAAGGAGTTGACATGACAACATTTGGGACGGTGAGGGTGGAGTTGGGAATTGGGAATCAAGAAGGATGTGGAAAATGAGCAGTGGTTTGTAGTTAGCAGTCAGTGTTTCTGGGTTAGCGCCGTCGTGGCCTAGCTGCGAAGCATAGGTTAATGCTACCCCACTTTCCGACCCTCACAGCAGCAAATCCAGTGAAAGTTTTCCCAAGAACAGCAGCAGGCGAAAGTGAGGTCCAGACCCACTGATCCCAGAGGGAAGCAACTAGGATGCCCTAGCCCTGTAGTCCAAAGGACATTTGTCCTGCAGATTCCAGTACCGAAGTCCCATTATGCAGGACTCTCGGCTCTTCTAAGAATGAGACTACTAGGCCAGGATTCATAGAGAAAGCACAAGGAAAAGAGGATCCGTGAAGGTGGCACTCGAGGGTGGCGGCGACTGCGGGGGACTTGGGGACAGCAAGGATCTAGAGCAGAGAGTGGCAGGCTAACCCAGGCTTGCCTCGGAAGGGATAGGAGATAGCAGTAGCCGCCAAGATTGGGGCTCCTTTTGGACTGATAAGGAAAGGGCTAGTGAGGAAGTAGATAGGAATAGGCATGAGTTCCTCAAAACTCAAGTCTGGAGACAAAATATTTTGATAGGAGAGACACAGAGAAAAATGTTTTGACTTGTCTTAGTTGAACTTTTTCAAGAGCCTCCTTTAATTTTAATTTTAAATTTAATGTTTTTTTTCATTTTCAATTTGAAATGCGTTCTTTTTAAGCTAGTTTCCGTAGTGTAGTGGTTATCACGTTCGCCTAACACGCGAAAGGTCCCCGGTTCGAAACCGGGCGGAAACAGCATGACTCTTTTGAGTGAGAGTAATTAGGGACTGCTTTGAGCCGATTAGACGTCTATAATTCAAAATTACTCTTACTCTTTCTTAGACCCTCAGGAGCTAACAAACTATTCTGAATAATATAGGACTCTAACAGATAAGTAGAAGAGGTAGGGGTAGCCATGGAGACATTCAAAGGGCTGGGATCATTTGAGTTACAGAAGCATTCAAACTGGAAACCAGGGAAGGTTTAAGGCATCTGAATGTAGGGAAGGACGCTAGAAGATATCACAAGAGGTCTTTCCATTTTCTTCCAAAATTGTCCCATTCATCATTTCTTATGGTACTATAATAACCCATTACATTCACATACCACAATATGTTCTCTAATTATTAATAATGTAGAGCATTTTCTCATGTGGTTGTTGATAACTTGATTTTTTTTCTTTTGAAAACTGCCTTTTGATAACCTTTGACCATTTATCTATTGAGGAATGGATTTTAGTCTTTTAAATTTGAATTCATTCCTAATATATCTTGAATGTGACACCTTTATTTAAAAAAAAAAAACCTTGCTTCAAAGATTTTCCTCTGTTCTTATTTCCCTTCTAATTTTTATTCCTTTTGTTTCATTCATGCAAAAGGCTTTTAAATTTTTTTTATAATCAAAATTGTCCATTTCACTTGTATGATCCTCTCTATCATTTTTATAGTGATGAGCTCTTCTATCCATAGATCTGAAAGTTGATTTCCTTGCTCCTCTGATTTGTTTACAATGTAGCCTTTTATATTTAGGTCATGTGTCCATTTGGAAATTATTTTTATTTATGTCATCAGATGTTGGTCTAAAATCTAATTTCTTCCAAACTGCATTCCAGTTTTCCTGGAATTTTTTAAAATCAAATTTGAGTCTGTCTTCAAGAGAGCTAGACATTCCAAAGCTTTATGTGAAGTGGGAGAGCATTCCAGCATAAGACATCTAGGAACTTAAATAATAGATGTTATAATTTTAGCACACAGGACTGGGTGCATAGTAATAGTAAAAGAATTTCTGGGGTATACTCCCACTCCCTGTTTTTTTTCCATCCAAGTAAGAAATCTATATTTCCTGCCCCAATATCCCTGCTGACCTCTAATCTCACATCTCCAACTACCATTCGGACATCCCAAACTGAATGCCCAGTAAACATCTTAAATTCAAAACATCTAAAACAGAACTTATTATCTTTTCTCCTATACCCTTCTCCCTTCCCTATTACCATAAAGAGCTACCTCCACTCAGGCTCAAAACCTAGGAGTCATCCTGGATTCCTCATTATCTCTCAACCTACACATCCAAACTGTTGCCAAGGCCTTCTGATTTCACCTTTGCAACATCTCTCCAAATGGTCTCCTCTCCTCTGACACTGCCATGTGAGTAGTGCATGCCTTCATCACCTTATACTTTGAATATTACAAAGGCCTCCCGGTGAGTCTGCTTCACCCATCCAATTCATCCTCCATTCAGCCACTAAAAGTGTTAGTCCTAAAACACTAGTCCAATCATGTCACCTCTCCCTATTCAGTAAACTCCAGTGGCTTCCTATTGCCTCCAGCAACAAATAAAAAATACATCATTTAGCATTCAAAATCCTTCATAACCTACCACCTATTTCATATCTTTTCAGTCTTACCATAAAATGTACTTTTCAAACCAGTGATACTGGCTTCCTAATTGTTCCACCAGTAAGACACTCCATCTCTCAGCTCCAGGCATTCTCCCTGGCTATCCTCCATGCTTGGAATATTCTCCCTCCCTCCTAATTAATTAACTAACTAACCTGTCTTGCTTCCTTTA